TTCGAAGACTTACATAATCCTTTTCCCGTCCATCCATTCCATTGCACGTAACTAAGAATTCAAGTATATTCATGGCTATCTTTAATAGGCCAATTAGGCAGACTACAACTTATATTCTTATAATATATATATATATATATATTATAGATTTATTGAATTTTTAGATATTAGTTATATTCTATATCAAAAATCTCACATTTGGTATCCAATATTTGAAATTTCAAGTCTCTAATTTTCAAGTTCCAGGATTCAAGTGTCCTCCTTTCATTACGAGCCCACTGGACTTTCTTTTTGTCTGTTTCAGGGTCATGCCCAAAACATTGCAGCAACCTCGCCCTGTCCAGCTTGGGCATGTTTAACCAATTTCATTGGCGTCTAGCAAATTTAGGCTTGGTGGATAACCACATTCAGGCACATGCATGAATTTCACCTTTTTAAGTCGACAATCGTGGCTGTTAAGCGGAACTTTGTCTTTATTTATAAATCTAAGTCTCATCCAATTTCTTACTAATATAAAATTTGTAACACATGCATACATGAACATATACATTCAAATAAAAATAATTAATTATATTGATGAAGGTTTGACAAGTAATTTTACATGACCAAACAAGGTGGATCTAACCAAACATAACCTCTTTGATGCTATACTAGCTGCATTGAAGAACACATGATAGTTGTTTTAAGTGCCATAAATTAATCAAAGATGTATAGGAACAAAGCGTTTAGCTTCGAGGATCAGCCACCTCAAAAAGATTACATGAAATAAATTTTTTAAAAAATTTAAAAATTAAAACTTCGAATTCAATTCTTCAAACAAGAATTATAAAAATAAATCATCAAAAAGTAAACTTCACACAAACTCTTTTTGTGGTGTAATTTTTCTCACATTATTTAACTAAATCCTTGATTATAAAACTCTTTTTAGGTTGGTGAAGATATTAATGTATAGTTTGGGCCAATGGCCGAACTCTTAAGCCCCCTCGAGTGCATCAATCAATGGTTGGGCCATAAGTTTGGGCAAATTAAGTGGCGAAGCGTTGACAAGTGGGGAGGTTGGTCCGAAAGGTAGAAACTAGGAAATTGAATGTCTCGTGACCTTCCAACTTGTTTTTCTCAAGCCTGCATCCGAACTTAACTTTATATTAATTACGAGTTGTTAATTTATGGTTTTGCTCAGTCAAAAATTTTCTTCTACATATCTACAACGAGGACCTCGCTGCTATGCTATGTCATCTCATCGTCTTCGATCTGTTGATCTCTATGAGCAATATCAACACAAATACAAAACAAAGAAAGCTTTTACAAAGCAAGATTGAGAGGAATCTACGACCTTTGGCGTTTGCAACTAGCAAAGTAGCAACAAGTAACAAGAAAACAATAGACATTGGCGAGAATAGATTTGATTTTTGACGTCAAGCTTTTTGGCTAAATTAGAAAATCAAAGGAGAAACGAAAGGAGGTCTGGTCTGACTATGGGCTCTAAACCAAACAGGAGTATAATACACGAATGAATGGCTTTCCAACAAAAAGTAAGTTCCAAGAATGCAAAACAAAACAAAGGTCCTTCTCTAAATTGTTTCTTTCGTTTTTTTCTTCTGGTAATCTTGTTGAATACAACTACCCATCGACTATGGAAACGCCGTTATTACGCCACTAACCAAATACCCAAAGCAATTCCCTTCATAAAGATTTACATTTTACCAAAAGCATAAACCCAGGAAAATGATTTGCCTTGTAAGAAAAAAAAGAAAAGAAAAGTGAAGGCCTATATTCACTATCAAATCTGTGAAAAGGTTTTATGCTAAAGCAGTATCGATGACCCAATGTTGACCATCAGTTTGGATCTTGAGATTATTCAATTGTGCAAATAAATTTACTGCTCTTCTTACCCCACGGTTATCCGCAGCGGTAAAATAATCGTGCCCGAATATTACCCCACCGGGTCTCAAGATCCGATACGCCCGGTTTATGTCTCCCCATGCGGATATGAAATCATGACCCGCATCGATCTCTATTAAGTCCGCCGTTATTCCCCACTCGCAAAACTTTTCAAGACCCGAACCGGTTGAGAATGGAACGGGTAAAACCGATTCAGTGGCTTTGAGATAAACCACATTTTGCATGAACTGCTGAAGCAGTAAAACGTCGCCGTTTATCATGATAATGTCCTTGAAACGGTCTCTGAAGCCTGGCCATCCGCGAAAGTCGTCAAGGCAGAGTATCTGAGTTTGGAGGCCGAGTTTACGAGTCACGTTGACCATGTGGAGAGCTGACGCGCCCAAGAAAGTGCCTACTTCGATGATAACTCGGGGCTTGACTCGTTTAATCAAGTGTTCAAAGACGGCACCATCGGAGCCCCAGCCTTTGACTCTTTTTTCTTGAGGAAGGAGCGAACGTGGGGTGGCGGGAAATTGGTGTAAGGAGAGGAGCCCTTGAAGACTCGTTCAAGAATCGTTGGGAAGATGAGGTGCGGCGGTAGAGGCGAGTTGGAGCAGTGGCTGGTGACTCGGAAGTTGTCGAGTTGAGTTGGTAAGCTGACGAATTGGAGAACAGGAGGAGAAGGAGGAGTCACTTGGAGAAGGAGTTGTTGCTGGGAAGGAGAGGAACGGGAGAAGTAACCCAAGGCGTAGGATAGGAAGAGGAGGATAACGTACCGTGGTGTGAGTGAACAGCTTGGCGATGGAAACTGTTGTTTCTTTGGTGGTGATGAAGGGGAAGAGGGCGTTGGTCTTCTTTCATGGCGATTTGGTTTGCTTTTCTTGGTTCAGGTCTTGAAGAGGAAAAAAAAAACAGAGCAAGTTTTGGTACTGATTAATTTTTGAGTGCTGACCGACAATTAAAGGGCAATCATCGTCGGTTGTTCAAAGAAAGGAAAGGGCATTGAACTACCAAAAATGCTTAATCACAGTTTTGACCTTCTTGGAAGCCAATAGCAAACTACAAAAGAAATTAATCTATTCAACCAAGAGAAAGAAAAGTAAAAAACAAGTTCTTAACCACATCGTGAGACCAAAAGAGGGGCCTTGGCAAGTAGATAAGTTGCGTGTTTATTCAGGAATGGGGTGCTTGAAATATTATTTGATTCCTTTGGAAATTATCGTTGTCTGTTTTAAGGTTTTGAATGGTTCAATTATGTTTATTTCTCATATGATTGGTAAATTTTAGTAAATTTTATTGTGGTTTGTTGTTCTTTTCAACTACTCTTCATAATAAAGAATCAAGCTGTGATTCTGTGGAAAAAAAGGCCGTGGCTCCTTTTCCTGGCTCTATTTCGTGCCATGGATTGAAAGAGATTTTGTAATGCTGATTATATTACTTTTTAATATATATTTTTTTAATGATTGAGAAGGGATGACACCTAAAGATATATGTCTCAATTTCCTCACGTCATTTCATTTTCTTTTCTTAAATTTTGATTCGAATCTTTTAGGTTAAAAATTGACAGCATCCATAAGATCAAAGTTAGTATTCTTAATGCACTGATTGAGGACATGTCTAAATTAAAGATTCAATTTACAGCATGCTTGGTTCATCGAAAAAAAATAAAATAAGAATAGAATAATTATTTCAAGATAATAGCATAACTATTTTGCAAATTAGTTAATGAGAATAAAATAGTATAGAAATTGTTATTATTACTTATTTTATTATTTGATTAGTAAGAATAATTTTAAGGATAGTTAAAAAATAATGGATAAATGATAAAAATACTTTTTATTAAACTTTAAAGATTTTTTAATTAAAAAATAAAAATAATATGATGAAAAAAACATACTCTTTATTACAATCAAAGAATTTATTTTGTTACAAGATAAAAATATTCTAAATAATAAAATCAAAATAACTTTTACTATAATTAAATAATATTTTCATCAAAATACAAACACAATTTTATTATAATTTAATAATATTTGATATTAAAAGACAAAATATATTCTTCATTAAATTTAAAGAATATTAAATAATATTCTTTATAATATTTATTATAATTAAATTAAATAATATTAATATAGTAACTAATATTTAAATATTTTCATTTTTTTAAAAACAAAGTAACAAATTTTGTGCTTTGTGTGCTTTAGAGAGAGAAGGAGTGAGGGAGAGAGAGAGAGAGGAAAAATTAGCTTAGTATTTTTTTATAAGATAATTTTTTAATTGTTAAAAATTATATTTATCTAATCAATTTCTTTTCTTATTCCTAACAATTCGAAATAATTATTATAAAAAAAAAAATCTTAGTAACAACTATTCAGACTTCTTTTAGAATAATTATTTCATTGAATCAGATGCAACTTTCTCTCATCAATGAAAATAGAGAAGGAATGGTTATTCCATTTCCCCCGACCAAGCACAGCCTTTTAAGGAATTGAAATAGAAAAGCTGTAGTTGAAGACGCCATGGTGGTTGGATTTGGAGGTTTGGACAATTCCCATCGCACATAGCTTCTAGATGCAGTATTTAGAAGGCAAATTTTCTGTTAAAAGTGACCATTTTCCCCGGCGGTTAGAGTGGTCAACATCTTAAAACAGCTTCATACAGGACTGGAAAAGGTTCCAGCCATCAAGGAGAATTATTTATCTTGTTCATGGATATCTTCCTTTTCCTCTTCTTTTTAGAACCTTGAGAGGTCAATTCCTTTCTTTTCTTTTCCTTGGCTCCCGTCTTATTAGCTGCCTCTTACCCCTTCCTTCCTCAAAGTTCGGCGCCATTTATTTCACTAGGAATAGAAATTTATTTTTTTTGTCTCAACTCAGATGATTAAAAGGTAAGTAAAGGTACACCATTCTTGCACATGTCCACTTCGGAAATAATAGAGATTAGCATTACCTTCGCGCAACCATAGCCTTAGCCTCACCCATGGACCCCTGTTAGTAAATGAGATGCCAACCGCTTGCAGCCCCTTGCCAGGAACTTGACGGGTCATTTTAACATGCAGAGCTCTCATGGTAGGTTCCACAATCACGACCTTGATTTACAGCTCTTTTTACGCACAATGATACACAAACCATTTCCAATAACAACCAAGGAAACTTCAATTGGATCACAATTCTGATACACGCTGCAAGCTTTTATAGGTTATTACAAAATAACAGCACTGGAGGCAGTGACCACATGCTTTAAGCCTCCTCCTTTTACAACTAAACCGTCTGTGTCTAACCACCTGTTCTTTAATTAATTGGCATGCCAAGAACCTCAACAAAAGTTACCTACCTAAACTGTTATATTAAAGAGCAACAAAGAAAATTTTAATTCTAACACTGTATATCAAAGATCACCAGAGCAATACAACTCCTACCGTAAGAGACGCCTACTATCAACAGCCACAAGTATCCAATTAAAACAACCGATTAGGGCAGTTACTTTGCCTCCTCTGCTCCATCACCACCACCATGCCCAGCAGTGGTAACCCCCTGCCCATCAGCACCAGCCTCAGAGCCCTCTTGCTTGTTCCCACCACGTGCATCATTTGGGCCTGAACCTGGAGGTGGGCCACCACTGCTGCCACCTCCAAGAGCAGCCTCAGCATGCATGGGATGCATGCCATTATTGGGCCCTCCAGGTCTGATTCCCATTTGCCCTTGGATGGCTTGTTGATGCTGCTGATGCAGCTGCTGCTGTGGATCCTGCATTTGATGTGGGTTATTGAATTGTAATGGCACCTTTTGGGAGAAAATACCAGGTTGCTGTGCCATTGCAGCAGCCTGAGGATGTTGCATAAAATATCCTCCTGGTTGCATTGCAGGATGTGGCGCCATCTGCAATTGTTGGTAAATATGTGAGCAAGAAGTGTAACAGCAGATAGACTAGAAGAAAACCATTCATTTTTAACACTTACCTGAGGAGGTATCGTTGGTGTTGTCTGTGGTTGTGCATCCGCAATCGCAGCCAAGTACATCAAATTCTTTTGCAGCTGAGCTTGATACCTAAATCATCAAAAGCTTATATCTATGCTGCCCAAATGTGACACATGTAAGCATATGTGCATGTGTGCATGTGCAAAACCACACACATTTATGGGAAGAAAAACTAACAGTAATTTTATCGGTATTAAATGAAATTGCAACAATTCAGTATTGACCTTCAAATATTGAAACAGATTTATCAAAATTTTGCAAGCTTCATAGGTTGATAACTTCCTCTCTGGCTTGTAAATGCCGCTCCTTGGTACAATTTTGATAAAAAACCCACTACGATCATTGACTACACGGGGGAGGGAGGGAGGGGGAGGAGAGTACGAAAGGGAAACCTCACTGCATTATCAGTGACCATATCATATGGTGATGATCGACAAATAGTAGACATGCTAATATAATAAACTAGATTCATTAAATAGGTTTCTATCTAGAATCCTTGGTAGCAGATTATGAAGAAAAACCAAAACACAACAACTGAAAGTTGTATCTTCTTCTAACCAAAATGGTACATTGCCTTCTCCAGATAAAATATTAAGGTTATTTCAGTGCTTGAATTATGCAGGGACCAGAAACAGACATTTATACCACAAGACTCATGGTCACTACCTACTCATATGTATCATAAGGTAATATGGTGATAATCATGAGCTCACTATGCCTCCAGAGTAGAATTGGCAGTAAGAACAATGGGAGCCAAGCACTAAATTAGTTCCTCAAAATAGGTTTGGACATTACCATCCGTATCTGCATATCCATGAGAAGAAAGACTTATCTAACTTTGGATCAAGAGACTCCTTAACTTTGGTCCCAGTTTCAACTAGAAACACATATAATTATCTAGGACGAATGAACAATTTATAATTAATTGACAGTGACATTAGATACTTCAATTTGAGCTACACGAAGCACAGTCCCAAAGCAGCAACATCCGTTACTAATACAAATGTTTGGCAACAGTTCTTGACATGCTAAGGCATGTAGCAGTTTAGAAAAGCTACTTCCGACTTAAAAACAAACATGTAACTCAAATGCTAGTTTAAAATGCTGCATACATATACTCAGGTAGATAAAAGAGAAAGAGAAATTTATAAAATACTTACGGGGCGCATTCAGCTAGTTTTCCAAGATTCTGGTTGTCCAAAATTGCCAAAATCAACTTCTTGTTCTCATCAAGGTACTGCAATAAGAATGACAAAAAGAACACTTAAAGAGAAAAAAATAAGACCACAATAACAACAACTTAATGCCTCTATCATCATATACTCCATTCTTAAGCATGAAGTGACAAATGCTTTAACATGCATAACAGATAAGAGACAGGGGCAGAGATCTATACACACTTCTATGGAAAACATATCCCCTAGAATCAGGAAAAAAAGAAACAGTAAAACCATACATAACAAGACCTAGGGTACACACTTTACTCTAAGATCCAACCTCTACCAAACTTTTTGCATTTAAGCACTTCTTAAATTCTTCATGAGTTTTTCTCAATCTTGGGTTCCCAAAGAGAATCTTGACCCAGAAAATGATAGCCCATTCAATAGGAAATTGCTGGATAAAAAGGATAGTAGGATTAGTAGGGCATATAGTTATTTCACAAATCCCTCAAATGCATTACCTTCAGCAGAACAACAGATAGCTATTAAGCTTTCAGCTTAGTTCAAGGTAAAACAATGATCATCCATGAGTATTAGCATATAAAGCCCACCTCTTATGTTTAGAACTTCTCAAAATCAGCCAACAGTTTTACAACATCAACCACTGCTCTTGCATCTCATACATGTTACACTTTTTCGGAACAGGAGGCAATATCAATAAATTCTTTAATACAATTATGTTTCATGTTTAAAGCATAAGATACTAATGCTCTTCCTCTAAAATGAACATTACTCTTTCATGGGAAACAATGACTATCTAAAGTGAAACAGGAAACAGACCCTGTCTCATCTAAATTAAAGAATTTCTGTAAGCGACGTAAAATAAATCATAATATTGAGGCCTACAAGGACCCTTTTTTTTTTTGCTTGCTTTTTAATCGATTTAACTCAAGCATGGACCCAATGAAGAGCCACTTTGTCAGCTTTAGGAAATTAAACTCACAGGCCCTTTATTAGGAAACCTATGTTCAAGGCTTCTACTGCAATGGGCATACTTTACCATTATTTGGAACCATACAGACAGCTCAACCAATCTTGTTACTCCAATTGAAAGCCATTTTCAAACAAGGTAATCAAAAAGGAACTCATAAAAAATCAAGTGATCACAAATATAGATATGTCCCTGATAATCTCTTTACTGTCAGAAAGAACAACGGGTTTTTATTAAACCTGCAAAACCTTGATATAGATCAATAATATATGCCAGTAAAATTTCAAACAGGTTTATTGATTTCATTTTCATATCAATATTCCAAGTAAGATATTTTTAGTTGCATCGGTGATTTAGAAGTCGTATTACCTTCCCAAAAAATAAAATCTACTGAAAAGTTCCCAGGGGATGCCACCAGTAAAATAATAGCAGCAAATCAGCAGTTTACTTAAGCAAAAAAAAAAAAAAAAATCTCATTCACTGTAGAGGCATGTAGAAAAGAAATAAATGTTGAACTCAAAAATTGATATAAGAGTCTACTTTATCCTGGCATCACATAAAAGCCAAGATAAAGGTGGACATCAAGGATTGATATAAAGATGTTAGAAGACTTCAAAGAAACTCACTCAAACACTTCGTAAAAGACAGAAACAAAAATTAATTCTGGGGATAAAACATAGACAACCAAATTGACACGAGTAATCAAGACTGTAAGTCTCCCCAACATCAAGCACGATCACTCTCATGCGCCAGAAGTATTTTACCATTCAAGATGGCACAAATCTCTTGCTTTTGACCACAGATACTAAAATAACAGATAAAAACCAAATTTAATTAATAGCATTGCATCTAACAAAAACAATATTAGATCCCCTGCTTTACCAACAAGTTTCATTCATCTTTCTATTGTATCTGTCACTGTTATCATAACTCCTTAAAACCAACACCAACCTACCATTACCTTCTCAGCATCATCATCCTATTCCAAATAAATATCAATGCAGGGGAAATCAATTCACAGAAAAGCACAACTCTTCCATTTCATAAATGTTATGTTAATACACATCCTTAAAAAGGGCTCTTTTTTTGAACAAATAATAAGGGCTTCTCCTATCTCATGAAACTGAAAAAATTACCATATAAATGAATAAATCCAGGTCAGTAGCATTAAACACGCTATATAAGGATAATAAACATAAATAAACGAAAATAAAAGGAAAAAAATAATGATTACGAATTTACCTTCTGAATCTGTTCAGTAGTGATGTTAGTAGGTGGAAATGAAGGCATCACAGGGATCATTTGCGGTGGCTGCTGCATCTTGTGTGAGCTTTTTACTTTACTTTACTCCAAGAAGAAACCCTACCCCTAATCAACCTAAAAATATTTTCCCTCAAAAAACCAAAACAAAAAACCCTAAATCGAATAATCCCCAAATATAAAAAATATGAAAAGAAATAAAAGGCACCTACTATTTTTACCTTGTTTGAGCACGGGTGAGTGTGGAGGATTTTCTTCCTGTTTCTTTTCTTTAAATTTAGAAGTCGGTTTCTTTAGATAGCGACGATGATTCTGGACTTTAGGACAAGAGGAAGTAACATAAAACTGATGAAAAGGTTTTTTTTTTAAATAAAAAATAAAAAAATAAAACCGAACAAAAGGGGCTAGATTTGGTCTCTCCTGTCGTTAAGACAAAACTCACGCGAAAGAGATTTTTGGTTGTTAGTTTATTGGGTTTTTGCACGGTTGCTTACGTCAGCGGGGTTTTCGTTCGTTTGTTTGGGCTATTGCTTTGGCTGTGGCATCTCTTTGACCGACTTGGCGTGATTTTCTTGAGAAAGTGCATAGGGCTCTCCTTCTTCTTTTGTTTTTTTAATAACTCAATTAATATTTTTACTAAAAAAACTTTTATTTATTCATTATTATAATAAATATCTAAAGCTGTCGGCATTTTTTTATTTTTTATAAAAGCTAAAAAATGAATTCAATCACACCTAACCCTCCCAGAAGAAGGATTTGGTGGATAGCCATCAGAACGGAATCATACATGCTTATCCAAAAAGAATTGCATGGATGAAATTTCAGTGTACCTCTGCTTTGAGTTCTGACATAAAATTGCAGCAGTGCCACCCAGCCCTGCGGGGTTAAATGATACCATCCATGACCACATACACTGTTTTGAAAGCCTAATGTTCCTCACTCCTTTGCCACTTGCCAGTACTGACCACCTGCCCACCCATTGGCTCTTGGTGGATATGTCGGACCCCGGGGTGCAAGAATGTTCCAAGCCTTTACATTCAGTCTAAAATTACTAGATATTGAGCAAAATTATCCTAGTTGTTTCTTTGTCCTTTTCTCTTGTGGAGGGTCAGACAAGGCATTGAAAGGCTTTATGATTGGAAAATGTTGTTGGTGGATCTTAATTCTTAGTACATATGATGGTTGATTGCTTAATTCAACAGAAAATTTATTTAATTTCATCTTATTAATATTATTGTATTATTTTTTATTTTTTGAAAAAAATTAATTTATAAACAATTTTGATTATAATGATTATAATTTCGTATTTTTTGTTGATATTTCAAAGTAATTACTTAATAATAATAAACACAAAATTGTGAGTGCTACTCACACCGAGTCCAGTCAAGGCGAGTTATCTATCCGAGTTGGAGGCAACCACCGACTATACCACGCCCTTATTCCATTTCCCAATCAGTTTCTTTTCCCGCTACGAAGTTACCGATCCACGCCTCCATCTCTCCGATTCCCAGAAAACAAAAACCAGAATACCGAAATCCCCATCCCCAAACACCAATCAACCAACGAACCGAACACTGAACCCTGGCGCCGGACATCTGGAAACGTCTATTCCCGGCGCGAACCCGGAGGCCTCTCCCAATCATTCCGCAAGTCGGGATAACCCGCCGATTCAATCCCCGAATGGAAATGAACCTATTCAGGCTTTGCTCTGGCCTCAGAGTCCTCGGCTACTTCATGATCCTCCTCGTCACCGCAATTATCGGCGTCAGTTACTACGCCGTCGTCTTGCTCACCTGGGGCCCACAGTTACTCCGCGGCGGATTCCACTCCTTTTTATCCGTCGCCATCATCATTACATTCCATGTTCTGGTAATTTTGTTAGTGGGTTGGTTAGTTTTACTGTTTGCTTAGCAAGTTTGATTTTTTTTTCTTCTTTTTGCAGCTTATACTTTTATTATGGAGTTATTTTAGGGTAGTGTTTAAGGACCCTGGCTCTGTACCTGCAAATTGGAGACCGGTTTCCCCGGAGGGAAATTTGGAGGTTGGTAGTTCTTTTGCAGCAGCGGATGGTGGATTGGAGAGAGCACGTGGTGGTTATTGCAGCCATTGCCAGAATGGGAAGCCACCACGGTGCCATCATTGTTCTGTTTGTAAGTCAAATTTTGATCTCTTTCAGTTTACTTGTTATAATTTTCATTATGATTGTGCTTTCGGAATTATTAGATCCGTTTTTTTTCGAGAAACATCATTTTGTACCCTGGAATTCCTGCAAAAGAATAAGTAAGGCAGAAAGGAATGAGATAAACTTATTTCAAGGATGATTTAGATTGAAAAAAAGAAAAAAAGGCTAAAACTAATTGTTAATGAAGAATGGATTTAGAAATTAGGAGGCAGTAGCGGTAAGGATTAAGGAATATAAATCAATAAGTATGGGCTATGGTTGGATTTGTTGACACTGGAGAAGAATTGCTCATTCCTTAAATCAAGGGAAGAATCAGGATTTTGACACACGGAGAGTAGGTTGTGACTGTTGGAGTGGTGATTCCACTTTCCTTGGCAATCTTTCTCTTATAGGGTCACAGAGTTTCTTTTAATGTTTTACCTATCTCATTAATGTGTGAGAGTTGTAATAAGTTAATTAAATAAAAAATTTAATTTTAATAAAAAATAAATATTTATATTTATATTATCAGACTAAAAGTATATAATGATATATAAATTTTAATTTTTAAATAAAAATAATTATAGTTTAAAATTGATATAAATAAGTTTTAATATAAAACTGTAAGAATTGACGTAAAAACTTATAAAAGTAGATTAATTAAATTTTAAATTTTAATGTAAATGTGTGAGAGTTAACATAATAAATCAATTATGTAAAAAAAAATTTAATTTTAGTGAAAAATAAAATTTTCAATATATATTTTCAAACTAAAAGTATTTAATGATATATAAATTTTAATTTTTAAATAAATAATAATAATAAAAATAATTATAGCTCAAAATTAGTATATATAAAAGTTGTAATAATTGATGTAAAAATTTATAAAAGTAGAATAATTAAATTTTAAATTTTTACGTAAATGTGTGAGAGTTAACGTAATAAGTTAATTAAGTAAAAAAATTTAATTTTAATGAAAAATAAGCATTTATATTTATATTATCGCGCTAAAAGTATGTAATAATATTCAAATATTTATTTTAAATAAGGAATAATAAAGATAAAGATAATTATAGTTAAAAGTTACTATTGAAAAGGCTTGACGTAAAGATGTAAGAATTAATATAAAATCTTATAAAAGTGGAATAACCAAATTTAAAATCTTAACGTAAATGTGTGAGAGTTAACGTAACAAGTGATAATAATAATTTTTATTACATTAATTAATTAAATATAATTTTAATATTAAAAGAAATAATATTCTTATAGTTTAAAGTAAACAATAAAATAAAATTAAAAGTTAAATAACTTTTAAAATAAACTAAATAAATTTAAAAATTATTTACGTTGTTATCATAAAAAGAGTAAATTTAAAAATTATATATATTGTTAACCTGTTAACCTGTTAACCTGTTAAACAGGTTTTTATTTTTAAAAAAAAATTTATTTATTAACTTTACAGTAAGGTTAAACTTACTATAGCGTTCACCCACGAAGGGAAGGTTGTGACAGTTGGAGTGGTGATTCCACTTTCCTTGGCAATCTTCCTCTTGTAGGGTCACAAAGTGTCTTTTAATGTTTTACATATCTCATACCATTTCCCTTTATAGAACAGTGCTACTGGTTTTCATTGGCATAACTGGAAGTATGAGAATGAGTTGTGTTGATAGTATGAAGCATGACTTTGTTTACATTATGTTTCTGTAGGTCAAAGATGTGTTCTCAAGATGGACCACCATTGTGTATGGGTGGTGAATTGTGTTGGAGCACGCAACTACAAGTTTTTTCTTCTTTTCTTGGTAAGACGCCATTCAATTTATCCAAGGTCTGGTAGTTATGAAGTATGTCTATGAGTATGTCCATCTTTCTTTTTTCTATTTTTGTTTTCCAATTTATGGTTAGCATGGAGTTAAGGAGTTTTACGGTTGTCAAGTTTAAGATTTTGACTGTGAAAGATCTGTTAACCTCAACATGATATTACTTATCAATTTTGTGTTTGAAAAATATGTCTCATAGCTTATTTTATTTTATTTTATTCTGGGGGAAGGGTGATTCAAACCTGCTTCTTAAGCATGCAACTACATGCCTCATACCATATTTATGTTGCATGGTTTGCTAATATGGCTATAATTAAATATAATTTCTCATTTAACTCCTAATAAGCTCCAGAAGGAAATTTTTTAATGGTTAGTCAAAGTTTGGATCATGTTTTGCAATCTCCTTGAGACGTCTAACAAAGAACTCAGCCAGCCCGTGATTTTTGCAATTCTTTGAACTCAACCAGTTCAACTTTTAGAAATACATCTGGGGAAGTTAACCAGAATTTGTTGTTGTTGATATGGTCAAAGATACACGTAGACCACTAGTGACCTAGTAGAGTAAGTAATTAGTGCTACTAATATATAAAAATATTGAATATTTTCCTCATGGCTTGAACTTGTTGAGTTGTAATTGCGTAAAATTTAATTTATGGTTTTGTGTGTTTTTTTTAATGGGTTTGCTGTTGCTTCTTGTTGTCCTTCTTGGGCAGAACTAAGTACATTTACATAGAGATACTTCCACATTTCGGAATAAGCATGTAAGATGTACATCAGTGTCCTTAATATTTAACTGCTCTATTACTTTCTTTCTTTTTTTCTTTTTCCCTTGTATATGAAAGAAGCCCTCTTCTGCTCAAGATGAAGGTGGCTGGACTGAATGTTGGCTTTATATCTTTAAACTATGCATAGAAAGTATGATGTTTCTGCATGTCTCCCCCTTCTTTTGAACCAAAAAGAGGGGCAGGAGTGACCAGCTTATTTCATTTTTCCTATATTCCTGACATTCTCTTATCGCAAAAAAGCTATATACATTTTTGGAGACAACAATGAACACCATAGTATTGCTGCCAAGTTTTATCAATTTCTTTGATGAAGCCAAGAATCACTCCTCCGGTCCTGCCAATTTAGCAATAATATTTTTGGCCTTTGGTAAGTTGTCAACTCAAGTTCATGTATTATTTTTCAGCTCAACATATTTGTTCTGCATTCTCATTGTTTTTATGTTTCTTACAGATTCTGTACCTTGATGCAGTTCTCAATTTGGCGTTTGCTCTGAGTCTTCTTTGTTTCCTAGTCATGCACGCATCTCTTCTTTCAAGCAACACGACATCAGTAGAGGTATAACATACAACTAATATCTTTACAGCCCTTTTCTCTTTTGTTAACATGTCTTTGCTATTACGCTTGGAGATTTGGTAAGGTGTTGGATGCTGATTTTTAATGTGTTATCTTCCTGTTGTTGGATGAAGTCATGCTTTTATTTTAAGCAGGCATGTGGGGTCGTGATATTATTATTAGGATGGGCTGTTCTATTCTTGGTGAAGGCTTTATTTACATTGTTAATAATTTATTATATATTACTTTTCTGAAACAATATATTCAGGTTCATGAGAAGAAAGGAGCAGTCAGGTGGAAATATGACTTGGGCAGGAAAAAGAATTTTGAGCAGGTGGTACTTGTTTGCATACTCTCTTAACTTTCTGTTTTTATCTATGGACATAAATATGAGGAAAGTTGACTTAATAATCAGTGACATCTGAGATGTATCTAGGGCTCATAATTTGATATTGAAAGCATAAGTGTTTAACATGAAAGCTATAATGCTTGGGAAGGCAGATTCGATGAAGTCACTTGCTGCCCCTTATGTGTGCTCTTGTGGCCGTCTGGCCTGCCATTTTAATGGCTTCTGCCATATCATGCTATAAAATAATCACATGTATTTTGATCAAAATAGGTAGCGAAAGGGGGTATTTCTTCTCTCTATATGGACGACATATTCCAACTTTCTCATGAGTCATTTTCCTTGCTCAAGGTATTTGGCACGAAGAAAACTTTGTGGTTCCTCCCATTGTTCTCAGAAGATGATTTAGACAACATACCAGCACTTCATGGCATAGATTTTCCAACACGTTCAGATGTTGAGGCTTGAGGTTTTGTTGTCAAAGCGACTGCCCATGATCATATTGCATTGTCATGATTATGTTTAAATGTTAAAGTTGGAAAAGATATACCTCGCATTATGTTTGCTTCCATAATGTCATGATATTCGCTTGAAGTGTATGTGAATAAAAGTTTTAGTGCAGAGACATGTTTCTTTGTTACTGAAGTTTGACTTCAAGGAGAGGCATCCGGTCAGCAACGTGATAGTTTAGAGTAAGCCTATCGATTCCTGAAAATTCATCTGTCAGAGTGGATTATTTCATTGGAACCAGTTTCCCAGTGATGTTAAGCCCTTCAAAAAAGGGATGTTATAGGCGAGGCACGTTAAGAATGAAGCGAATTTCCTTGTTCCTCAAAGCCATGCATGTTTGAAGGCTAAGCTGTTAATTGTTATTGGTTTGAGTGACCTTGACATTTTTGAAACTTATATCTGGCCAACCATGCCGAAAATAAAATAGACGGCTTGGGTTGGGACAGCGCAGGGCAATATCAACAATTCCAGAAAGAATTCGGCCATGTGGTTTCTTTAAATAAAAATTGCTGGAGTGACTCTGGCTTGGGGTCTGTAATTGTTAAATGTTTCTTTCTTTTTCTCTAGAGCTTGGACATTTTTTTTATTGAAATCTGGCTTTCGTGAGGGGATTCCAAAGGACAATCTCACACGATTTCAGTTGGCCGATTCCTTGTTCACAGTCCATCAGCTAATTTCACTTACACACTCAGCTGATTGTCAAAGCTGTTGGGTAAAGTTCTTCCCAATAGTTCTAAGATGAAGAATGAAGATCAATTGATTAAAGTTCTCCCGGGACCCTTTTTTTGTCCTTCCCAGGATGGCACACAGGCAGGCATAATCGTTTTGTTTTTTTTTATCTTTTCTACAACGTGGTGTTGGTTTTAAACCCACGTTGATCAGAGTAATTGAGAACGAGTAGTATAGTAGTAGGTAAACGCGTGGAAGAACATGGGATTGGAACAAACAAATAGAGGCGAGATCCTTGAAGTTTACAAAACTGGGGAAGGTAATATTCTCGTCTTAGTTTGCCTTTGGTTACCTCATATTCTTGGTTCTCATTGATTTCTCCTACATCATTCATTCACTAATTAATCATATAAAACCGACCAAGTTGACACCTATCATCACCTCATGCTTTGGATTTTTAATCTGTTCTCATTAAAAAAAAGTACTTAGCTGTCTTTAGCCTGGAATATCATCATTTAATCTATATAATATGCTTTGGCCAATCCAAAATGCCTACATAAAGAAATGCACTACCAACTAATTAATCTAAGCTCTGAACTAGGCAATCTGATTGCCAAGCAGCTAGCATGCCAATCATACTCGGTTATTTGTATCAAAATCATGTTAATAATTCACATGAAGCAATAATAACAAGTAATCTAAAACTTTGAACCATAAGCAGAAGGGTGATCTGATACTTTATAGCCTGCAATTCTTGTAAATTTTATCCCAAAAAGGAAAATGTAAAGCTTCATATAAACAATCAATAGGAAGGTGAAATAACTTTCTTGATCATCTTTTCCGGGTCATGAACTAAGCCATCTGGTGGCCTTACATCCTCTGTAAAACTGCAGATATCAGAAACGAAAATGGCGAACCAAATGATGACTGGAGTAGTAAACAGAATAAGACCAAAGGGCACCATCCAGAGCTGCCTATATGTTGGATGATATTCATATTCCCACCATGCCAACATCAGGCCTCCTGTCAAACTCACCAAAAACGACCATAAGCAAGCTGTGTATGTCTTCACAATCTTCTTTGGTTCCTTGGTCCTGGTCTCAAAGCTCTCTTCTTTATCATAACCCATAGCACCAAACCTAAAAACAAAACCTTTCTCTCTTTTGGCCCTGAATTCCCATAAAACAAAAAAAAAAAAATTAGTTTTAATTACACAGAGAACAGGAAAACCTGCTAGTTCTACATACCAAGGTTAAACCGATGATAGGAGAAGAAGAAGAATTAGAGCCTCTGGAATGTTATTTGTGTGCTGAAAAACATGCTGAGAAGGTATTACAGAGGAAGAACAAAGTGCTGGAGAACTAAGACTAAAGCTTAGGAACGCTAGGTTCCAATGAGTTGAGGTCTGACTTTAGGCGATACTCAACCAAGTAAAGACTGATAGAAGTACCAATCAGGCGTGCCTTTTAATCAAAGTCGTTCTTTGATAGTAATAGAAAAAACAATGTAAGGAAGAAAATGATTGAGTTTCGGCTTTTATCACACCTCGTGATGCATGGATGTATCTGGGGTAGATTCGTTCTGCGTATTTTTTAATTGGGTTCCTTGTTTAATTGACAAATGCGTTGTTCGCTTGCAAGGAAATTATATTGTATTCAAACAGTTCCAGGGCAACCCAAGGAAACACCTATAAACAAATATACAAGCAAATAAAGAAGCAAATAATTGAAGTTTAGTAATATATGTGGAAACTGAATATTAATCTCTTAAGATTCTATCCATCTAGGCATTGAAAATGAAGTTTCCTTACAGGCATGACTCTAGGAAACTTGGGACTTGGTAATATGTCAGATTTGAGCTAACATGACAAAACTAGTTTCATCGTGGGGACATATCCAATCCAAACTTAGTGTTTTAGTTTTCAGTGACAACTTTCTGATAGTTATAAAATAATTTACGTAACCATGGCGATGTATTTTAGCGGGAGCAAGAATATCCCTTAACCGGCTCTGGTTTAATACCAGGGTTTTGCCTCATGTCTACACTTTCGTCTTTCTTGTAAACTGAAAGCTATCAGGGTGTAATCCTGAAAGGGGGCTGCAGCTACTCAGCCACAAAAACATAAAAAAAAATTGCTCTTCTTTCTTGCAAGGAATTTGTTTACCAAACGAAAGAGAGAGAAAACAGAAAATTTTGAACTATAAACTCTTCCAATTGTAAATTCAAAAGTTGAAGGTAGTCAGATTTCACGAGTAGGCTTCAAGCCCAAATGTTCAGATTGGGCTCAACTAGTCAACCATATAGGCCACTCCACTTAAATTTAAGATCAGTCTCATGAATACCCAGGAAGGCCAATACTATAGTCTTTACCTCTCATGCCCATTTTCTTTAGGAATGGATTAAGGCTTCTCTAAGATATTCATCTACTTTAAACGGTAAACTTCATCATATTCGCGCAAAGTTCTCAATTAATGTCTTGTGTGGTAATGCTTTTTTTTTTCTAATTAACACTTAATGGATAATTTTTATTTTCATAAAAATTAAGCTTTTAATTTTACCTAGTAAAATTAGTAAAATACTCTCAATTCAAAGTTAACTTATTTGTTCACATTTAAAGATAGGTTTATAATTTTATTAAGTAAAATAATTAACTTTACCTTTTGTGGGAAGAGAAGTTATTCACAATGCGCTAATCGTGAAAAAAATTTATATTTATAAGATGCTAATTTAAAAAAAAAAAACCACATGATATCACATGAAAAAAAATTTGAAATCATAAAAAAATATATATATATTAATTCCCTTTATTAAAAATTTGTTCTCAAAACTTCATTTGAAAGCATGATTCGCAATCCGAAAGAATGTAATGCCATTTTGTCCTTAAAGAGGTACCATCCAATCTTTTTTTTAGGTTGATGTTGGGAGGTTAGCATCCCTCGAAGTAAAAGGGAAAACAGGACCTTAAGTTTGTCTCTTACCTAATAAGTTTGGCCAAAGAGCTGACCTAATTTTGACAGTACTAATGTATAAGGCAGGAGACAGCATAATTCAATGAAAGGGCCTACAGAATTAACACTTGTAGAGAACAAATCACATGATCAAACGGAAAAAGAGAAACAATTGATTCCACCTCAAAGTACACAGACTAAATGACATGAGAGAGAATATGATTGTATCATAAGTTTACGTTTTAAATCTAAAAAATATGTCTAATAAATAAAAAAAATTTGTATTTATATATTTAAAATCTATTCTATTTTTTATTATTGATGTGATGTCGTCTCATGTCAAAAATCTCTTGCCTTGCGAATTTGTTTGTGGACGAGACTTCTAGTGCGCCACGTCGACTGAAAGTTGCACAAGATAAGGCTCAAATGCTAGGCATGGAAAAGGCTGCAGAGGCCATCTGAAGAACACAAAGAAGCCACCGAGCAAGTTCCTAGTCAACCTATTACATCCTTTTCATCTGGGACGACTGGACTTCATCTTGTGGTTTGGGTATTTTTGGACGTTCTCAATTATTGATCCATTTCTTCATTTGAGTTATTGCATCATTGATGTTGGCTCCTGGTTCTGGTCCCATTGCCCTGCCCTTATTAATTGTTCAATTACTACATCACCCTCTTCAATATTGAAGACCCATAAATTTAGAACTCTTAATGCTAAACTTAGATCACTGGTTGGTACAGAGTAAGATTTAGATTCTCTCTTCTTTAAATAAAAAAAAAAACGAATTTTCTCAAAGTAAGTTGACTCGTAACTAAATTTCAACGTATTGAATAGGTTAAGGCTACCAATAACGTGAACTAAAGTTGATAAGAATTATAATGTAAGAAGATCTTAGATCAATTTAAAACAATCATTTATTACTTACGATAAAAATATATATATAATATTTATGTGACATTAGTGATGGTATCACTAAGACATAATATTCAAAAATTTTCTTAAATTATTTAAGAAAAAATTTATTTATTTATCATAAATGATTATATTTTTATTTTAAATTAATAATTAATTAATTATTATTTATTAAAATATTACTAATTATTTTATATCATTGACATGAATATTTTCAGGCAAATTGTGCAGCTTCTTTGTTGAAACGAATATGCCTTTATAAAAAATAATCCACTAAATGCGTCGGAAACATATCCTACACTAATAAACTTCAGAATTTCTATGTATCTCAAAACTTTGGATTCTTTGGCAGCGGATTCTTGTCTTGCTAGCTCCTCAAAAAACTCTTTTGGAGAGAAAGTAGACTCCCCCACTGAATTAAATCTCCATCTTTATCTTAAATTTTTTTTTTTTAAAAAAAGAGGAAACAAGATAAGAGGGAGAGATTGGTGAATTCAAAGGCAAATATATCATCCCTACTAAAACCAAATAAGGGCGGGCAGCCACGGAGAAACACGGAATTTTTTCACAGATGGTAAGGGGGTCCACATCATCATCTTCTGGGCCCACCCGCGCAATAATAATATTTCAGTTCCATTCCAATCCGTCCCTCTCCTTCCCACTCCTTGTCTTCCTCTCCTTCTCCAGTTTTCCCTCTCCTTTCTCTCCTCAATTTTGCTGCATCTCAAATTTCAATTTACTGCAACAAAGGAAAAAAGCACCAAAGTCGAAACCGAGATAGGTTGAAACCCGGCAATCTGATCGGACGGTTGAGCAGCGGAGAATGAGCACGAAGAAGAAGACGGCGCAGGGTCAGACGAGGACACGTGTAGGGAAGTACGAGCTGGGAAGAACCTTGGGTGAGGGTAGTTTGCGAAGGTTAAGTTCGCCAAGAATGTTGAGACCGGCGAGTGCGTGGCTATTAAAATCCTGGACCGTGACCAAGTTCTCCGTCACCGAATGGTTGAACAGGTAACCTTCTTTCCTTCCCTTGCAATCTCCTCCACTCCATGCATGCACATGGCAACATTAAAAATTGCATTCAATAAACGAGGGTCTCACGTGTACTAATTACAAAAATTAGGACCACCTGGTCCCACGTTTAATGTGGGGTCCAATGGTCAAATGTTGTACCATTAATCAAATCTGGGTTATGAACTCATGATTAAATTTTGTTGCAAAGTCTTTGGTTAATTTGTTGTGACGTTTGATAAACTACTATTCAGCATTACATTTCTGGTATTTGTTGGTTTTTTAACGGTGATTTTATTGGGGCAGATAAAAAGAGAATATCAACAATGAAGCTTATCAAGCATCCAATGTCATTAAAATATTGAGGTAATAACTATCCCGGAACTTATGGTGTATGGTTTAGCATGCCAGCATTGCTGATAAGAATATTAAATGCGTATTTTATTTTAAATTTCTTTGCTCTTAATGCAAAGGTTATGGCAAGCAAGACAAAGATTTATATCGTGATCGAGTTTGTTGATGGAGGCGAGCTTTTCGACAAAATTGTAAGGAATTGTCGTTTATTGACAGTTATTTATAGTAAAAATGAACATAGAATATCGCTCGTGGAGTTTTTGCTTGATGTATAGTAGGTACCATTATTGCTTTTATATTTTTGATGGCACTAATTCTTTGATATTTGTAGGCCAAGCGTGGGAGACTCAAAGAGGATGAAGCTAGAAGCTATTTTCATCAGCTTATTAATGCTGTTGATTACTGCCACAGTAGAGGCGTCTACCATAGAGATTTGAAGGTTCAAGCCTTCTCTTTCACTAACTGATTGAGGAGTGTGTTTGAAAGTTTTTGAATTTGGAGCAGTTTGTTCAACTTGGATTCTACTTCCTAATGCATGCGTAATTATGCATTTTCTTTTAATTTGCAGCCTGAGAATCTTCTTCTGGACTCGTATGGTGTTCTTAAGATTTCAGATTTTGGATTGAGTGCTTTCTCGCAGCAAGTTCGGGTAAGCATGTAATGTTTAGTTATTGACTAGGGTGGTTTTATGAAATTGAAATCCAAACCTAAAGTTTTAGTGGTTTTTGATACCGAAAGTTTATAATGTGATAGCATAGAATGCACATTCTAATGATGGCTAGGAAATAGGAACGGCGTGTGGGGATGCAGGCCAGTTACATAGGCCATTGCATTAATAACATACAATCAATTATGCTGTTTGACAGATAGCTAGGTTGACCCTTGACCATCAAATGTCCAATGTCAAAACTCAAAAAGGGGAGGAAAACAAAGAGGGAAAACTTCATGTCTAGTAGTTAATCTTCTTTCTTTCCTGTTTTTTGTGATATGGATGCAAACCTTTCTAACATTCTTCGAAATTTAGGAAGATGGGTTGCTTCACACGGCCTGTGGGACTCCAAATTATGTTGCTCCGGAGGTATCACTCATGACTTATTGAGATAGTGAGCAGTAATTGTGCAACTTTTTGTTCACTCCGGTATATGACATCTTTCTTGTCAGGTGCTCAAGGATAAAGGTTATGATGGTACATCATCTGATATTTGGTCTTGTGGAGTTATTCTCTTTGTACTTATGGCTGGCTATTTGCCTTTTGATGAGCCAAATCTTGCAGCCTTGTATAAAAAAGTGAGTACTCCCAGATTTGGTTTCAATTTCAGCTGGTGAGAATTTCATTAAAAGTGTTGGTACTTGTTGATGTAATTCAGATCTGGATGGCTGATTTTACCTGTCCATCATGGTTTTCATCTGGTGCAAGGAAATTGATTAAGCGTATTCTTGACCCAAACCCTCTTACAGTAAGTTCCAAAACTCTTTCATGATTTGGAAATTACTGATTACCTGCTGTCTTTGTTCTCGGGATAGGTTACATTCCTAAATTATAAAAAGCATATTGAACAATTAAATTATTCCTTTCCATCTCTTCTTTCTTCTTCTTCTTTTTATTTAACATTTAACTTCTTATAATACCACATTGCAACTCTGCACATTCTTTTTGCACAGCGAATAACTATTCCTGAAATTCTACAAGATGAATGGTTCAAGAAAGGCTACAAGCCACCACAATTTGAGCAGGAAGAGGATGTAAATCTTGATGACATAGATGCGGTTTTTAATGACTCAAATGTAAGACATAATTTCGTGTCTGTTTTATTAGTGTGTGACAAGATCTCTGTTCTAAACGTATTCTCTTGCAGCCACTTTATAATGTGCGGCTGATAGACAGGTTTCTTGTTGTACAAAAATTTTGACCATTGACCCTGTAAACTAGTGCTTTTGTTATGTGTTTGTTGCTTTGCAGAGTATCTACTCAAAATGAAAGAATAATATGAGAATTAATTTCATCTGAAGTAACTTATTGTTTGTTTATTTTACAGGAGCACCTTGTAACAGAAAGGAAAGAGAAACCCGTATCAATGAATGCTTTTGAGCTTATCTCTAGGTCGCAAAGCTTCAGTCTCGACAATTTGTTTGAGAAGCAGACGGTATGTAATTAAGATCCCTTTAGCTTCTGTACTAAATATTGTGTTAATAGAAAATTTTGAACAATTCCCTTTATTGAATTTTTTTAGCCTGGATCTCCACTTTCCATCTTATAATTATGAGACATTCTTTCATGGCTAATTGTATCTTTCCTGCTGTGTTGGTTTGAATTGAAAACTATAGGGTCATGTTAAGCGAGAAACCAGTTTTGCTTCCCAATGTCCTCCAAATGAAATTATCTCCAAAATTGAGGAAGCTGCAAAGCCTCTGGGCTTTAATGTTCACAAGAGAAACTACAAGGTTTGGTTTCTCTTTCATCTATGCTGCACAACCTGATTTGATTTCTTTGATTTTCTGTGATATGATAGATTCTTATTCAAAACTGCTAGTTGGAATGTTCTCAAATTCTGTTTCAAATCTCATGCCTTTGTTATATACGTGTTGTCACAGATGAAGTTGAAAGGCGACAAAAGTGGGAGAAAGGGCCAGCTTTCTGTAGCCACCGAGGTACTGAATTATTTGCTCACCGGTCAAGCACCTTGTTAAGTTTTTTGGAATATGATGAAAATTTACTGCCGATTGAAATGAGTAGCACATAGTTACAATTGTCTCATTAAGAGCCTACATCATTTTTTAATAATGTAGTCATGGATTCATGGGCCTGGCCTGGCTATGTGGATTCTGGTTATCCAAATATGTTAGTCTCAAGCCTCGTCTCACATTAGGTTTTACTAAGACTAAGTAGCACTTCCTAAGCTGGCCTCGAAAGGATTTGGGAGTCCAAGCTCAAGGACTAATCCCTTTCAACTATGAACCGATTATTCTTTTGTAAGTTCAAATATGTACTGTTTTAATAATATTAACTCATGGTTTTTCATCTTTAATGCTAATACCACCTCTGCCTGAAAAGTTTACCGATCGAAGCGCTCAAAGTCCATAGAAACTTTATAGATACAGTGCAAAAATGTTTCCAATTCTCAGCATCTATTCTTACATTATTTCACACCAGAGAAATATGAAAAAAACTCATGTCCCTTTGATCTCAGGTGTTTGAGGTGGCTCCCTCCTTGCACATGGTGGAGCTCCGGAAAACTGGCGGTGACACCTTGGAGTTTCACAAGGTATCGTTTTGGCTATGAATATCAACTTGAATTTTGTCCAGTTGAGTTTATGTGTTGAATAAGATGTCCCATTGTTTCTTTTCCTTTCCCTATGTAATAGGAATATAAATAGATGGTTTTGAATGATTTCTTATATGTGTTAGTTCTTCTTTTCAAATGACAGTTCTACAAAACTTTTTCATCTGGATTGAAAGATATAGTCTGGACATCTGAAGAAATTGCTGAAGGGCAAAGGTGATTCTCTGTTACTTGCTCCCCAATTCCTGTTACCGTTGTAATGAGCAAAGTTCGTTGACTTTGTGATTTGCTGGTGCTGGCCATAACAAAAGCTACATCTTGTTTGGTTCATGCTTGCTTTAGCCTAGTGCACATATTTTTCTTAGAGTGTCAGTGTATACTGTTGGTTGGGCCTTTGGGGAAGGGAATTAAGTGCCTCAAAACGTGAGGCATGGTTCATTGCCAACTTTCTTGTATAAAGTGGAAGATTTTTATTTCCTTAAGAAGTAACCAAACCCATTGAAATTTTGCCAGTAGGTTACTGTTCCTCAGATGGAGGAATGCTCTATTTGATGCTATATTTCGAGCAATTATTGTTTTTATTAAATTAATCTTAAGTAATGACTATTGATCCTCAGATAAATTTGTGACATTGAATCTAAACCTAATCACCACGTTGCAGATTAATTAAGGGTGACACGAACAATGATGAGAACCACAAAATGTATGAACAAAGACAGGCCTCTGACCTTCGTTTAGAGGAAAAGCAGAGCTGGTTGATTTCCAGACCACAAATGGTCTAAAAGGGCATCTCAGTTTCCAAAGTTATAGCCCAAAGAGGTCCATTCAGACAGAAATTGCTTAATTAAGTTCCTACAATAAGTCAACATCTGGCCAACTCCATCGGTTTCTAAGTCCTTTAGGACATCTAGTTAAAGCCCAAAAAGTACGTCACATTGTTTCCCATTGTCTCGATTTACTTTTGTTTTCAAGTGGTCCAAATTCAAAAATAAAAATATAAAAAATAATAAATTTTTTATGATATGTAAATAACATAAAGACATAATATTAAAAAAAATTAAATTATATTAAGTATTTATTTAGCTTGACTTTTTTCAACTTATTTATTTTTTAAAAGTAAAAGTCAGATCAAATATAATTTTTTAAAATTTTTTAAAAAAAGTAATTTTTTTAAAAAATAAAATTTTTAAAAACAAAACTTAAAAAAAAGCTATAAGGAGGAACTTTCTCTTCTTTTTTTTTAAAAACATATTAATTTTTCAAAAAATACTCCTTCCTCAATCAATGTTCCTCTCTTTTCTCTTCTTTTTTCTTATGCAAATTACTATTTTTCAATGTAAATCGCGATGTCCTTTCTTTTACCTCTCTCTACCAAAACTTTTGAAAAAGACAGAAGACCCAACAACAACAGAATATCAAAAGCTAGAGTTTTTTAATTCTTACAAAGATTAAGAAAAAAAAATCTAAAATTTAAAACTGCATTCAGAAAAAAATAGAAAATCCAAAAATAGAATATCAAAATCTAAAATTTTTTATTTTTACAAAGATTAAGAAAAAAAAATCTAAAATTCAAAACTACATTAGATAGTATTTAAAAGTTTTCTCTCTTTTTCACCAAAAAGAATTTTAATATTAAATACATAGTTTCCTTTTTTTTTCTCTTTTTTTTGGAGAATTGAAACATCATGATCCGATTGTTGCTAAATCAATAAAAATCTAATATTATTGCTACTATACAAATTTGAAAATTATTTCATTTTTTCGTCGATTTCATTGATTTTAACATCTGAAATTATATATAAACTTGAAGCATTACATTATAATTTATTAGGTGATTGAAGATGGCATAAATATTCTTTATGGTAATTTTAACTGAAATTAGAGCTTATGTAATTTATTTTATTAAACAGTTTACCAAATAATTTTAGCTTAATTCTAAAAGCTATTATTTTTCATAAGAGCTTAATAATAAAAATATAAAGATTTGATTAAACATTATAAAAAATTAAAATTTATTTATTTTAAATAATTCCATAATTTTTTTAGCATTATAACTAATATAAACTTAATGAAAGTCAAAATTTAAGGACTCACATCAATCATTCTGATTGATAGTTACTTGACTGTAAAATCCTTATAACTAGAGATAAGGATGAGAAAAACCAAACCAGACTAATTATTCATCCAAATCAAATGTGATTTAGGTAAAGCAGTTTAATTTAATTGGTCTATGGGATCAATTGGTCCAACCAGTTTTTTGGTTAGTTTTCAATTTTAAAATTTTTAGATTAATGTATCTAGAAAACCAAACTAATTTTTTATATATATTAATATATAATTTTTTTATATATTAAGAAGAATTGGTAGTAAACTTAATTAATAATTTTCTTAAATATATTTTTTTATTTTATGTACATATACAAATCATAATCATAACAATTTAATTTTAGTTTTATTTATTTATTTATTTATAATTTTATATTAATATAAAATTACAAGTTATATATTTTAATTATATAACTTATATGTTAATAATATAATATATTATAATAAATATCTTACATATTAATGTGTTATAATCATTACACTTTAGTAATGTTTCGTAGTATAAAATGTTATAAATATATACAACTGTATAAACATTATATATATATATATTTAATTTATACATAAATATTACTATAACTTATTATAAACTTTACTTATATAATTACACTTAATAACCTTATTAATTATCATTTTAGTTTTTATAACATATTGTTTATAATTAGTTATTATTTATACAAACTTTAATATAAAACATTATAACATAAAAATTAAGTCATTAATTTCACATATACATAATAAAGTAATATATTATATATACATATATTTAATTTATATATAAGTATTACTGTAACTTATAATAGAATTTATTTATATTATTACACCTAATAATTTTATTAATTATTGCTTTAATTTTTATAACATATTATTTATAATCAGTTATTATTTATACAAATTTTAATATAAAAATTAAAATATTATAACATATAAGTTGTGTCACTAATTTCATATATATAATAAAGTAATATATTATATATATACATATACATATATTTAATTTATACATAATTTGTATATTTTATAATTATGGATGAAATTTATAAATTTTAATATTATAATTTGTAAAAAAAATAATAAAATTTTAATCTATTGGTCTAAAACCAAACTCATCAAACCAATTATATATTTGGTCAGTATGATCTTTCTTTAAGCTTGATAGGTTTTAATTTTTTTAAAATATTTAATTTGTTTGGTTTTTAAGAAAAGTAAACTAAATCATCTAATCCACTCATTTACTCACTCCTAACTTAAAAACATTTTTATATATGAGAGAAGAAACATGTCACCTTCGAGCAATAAGGCAAACAATAATTATTTCAAGGAATTATCTAATTATAATTTGTAATCTTACATAAAAACGGGCACATGCCATCTTGTAAACAGTCAGTAGTCACAACTGACAAGATAATGACGTTGACCTTCAGCTACAAACTTTCGACAATCAGTTGGGGAAACAGCGTACCTGCAAGTGGTGGTTCAAGGTCCTTGACATCAATCATTGATTGAATTAGTTCATCGTTAGGGGTTCGACGCATGAAGCTCTTTTATGGCTTGATTCTCCATTTGACAGTTAATAGGGATGGGTCGGATATTGCTGGCGAGATGCCTGTTTAGGTAGGCAGCAAATTCTTTGGTTATGTCATTTGCTACCAAATTGGACAACTTGGTACCTTCGACTTGTACTGTGATCAAACATACAGGATTAAAACTCTTATAGAATTGCACCCTAAGGCCAAAGGGTTAGACGTCAATTATTGACAGATGTTAAGCTTATAAGGTGAACGGAATAAAAAGTCACCTCCCGTTGAGTTGCAATTTATGACTAGATGATTGCTTGATAAGAAAATAACATGGCCTGGAAGAAGCAAAGAACTACATAGAGTTTTTGCGTGTTTGCGATAATCTACTATATAAAGAAAAATAATAATGGGATCTGTGGTGGGGGGATCGTAAATAAATGTCAAGTAGTTCGGATTTGCCATCATAAGTATAGGAGTAATATCGTAAATTTCAAGCCGTGAACTGCTTCTTGAATGTTTGGTGGCTACAAATGTTCGTGAGTGCGCCACTCGACTACCCGTACGCCTTGAATTAAATCCTCAGTTATTTTCACGTTAATTTCTTATTCATTTCTGTGCCGAAAAGGTCAATTTAATACTTTGAAACTAACGTTTTTATCGCAAATGTCTTCTCAAGCAATTCAATACCACATAATTTTTCTGTGGAAAACTCATAAATTTTCTTTCAAATTCTAGACGCCTTAATTTTCGAAATAGTTTCCAGCAATGCAAAAGCAATTTCTAATTTTATCTTTCAAAGTTTTGAAAAATTTTGATTTATGGACACAACATAAACATGGATTAGGGAAGGAAAAACCCAGAGATAAAATTTGTAGGATGGAGAAGGGCCGTGAGAAACTGGTTGGCTCTGTTGTTGGGGAACTTCAGTTTTATTTTGCAAATATAGCGTGATAAAAAGAAATAGGGATGAATCGTGAATGTAATAGTTAGTGCAGATAAAAGAAACGACAAACTGATCAGACCACAAAAAGAGTGCAGATTTGGCACCAAATTTTACCCAAAAGGATTTTAACGCAGTTGGTAGATTGGTTGAATTAAACCCTTGCTGCCCACACCCGAGAGTTGGTTTATTACACGCGCACACTCTTTTCTTCTTGTTACTCCCATGGTTAATGGTATGAACTACTAAACATGGGCACTTATCTATAAGATGAAGTACATAGCTATTAATTATTTGGTTATTTACCATTATAAGGAACGACTGGGGATTAAATTGCATAGAGGGCGTGGGCTAGCAACCTTTACAACCCTCTCAAGAAGTCATCCACTTTGTTTTCAAATAATCTATCAATAGTTTAGTCAATCTACGACTTTGATCAAACCAGAAATACTGAGAACGGAAAGGCGTAGAAGGATTTTGTTTTTGTAATAAAAGAGAAATGCTAACCTTCGGAAAAAAATTTGTCTCAACTTTCATTCCCACCATGAGATAAATTTTAAAGTTTGTTTAATAGAATTATAAAAATATTTTTAAATATGAATAATAAGTTTAATTTCAAATTAAAAGTATTATCGGGTAAAATTAATAACTCTAACTCCATGTTAGAAATGTTAATTAAAAGAAATTTATAAAATGCGCTATAGAAAAAAGTTGAAATGTAAGTAAATGTTTACTCTTAATTGAGTTATTTATTACACTTATAGCATTTAGGAGTAATGGAATAATTCTTAAAAATGGGACAAAAGAATTGTTATAGTCAATGGAAATATGGGTGAGTAAAATTAAACCGGATCAATGATTCAATTGAACTGAATGAGATTTGAATAAAACAGTTTGATTTAATTGATTTATTAAGTCTATTGGTCTAAAAAAGTTTGAACCAATTAGTTTATTTAATCAGTTCTTGATTTTAAAACTTTTGGACAAAATTGACTAAAAGACTAAACTAATATAAATAGTTATATTTTTTATATACTTTCAATTGTTAGATAGCTTATATAAGCGAATGTGAAGAGTCAAGTCATGGAAGAGATTCAAATTGATGATGTGCGATAGTTGATCGTTTTGTATTATATATTTTTATTATATAAATGTTTATTTTATTTTATTTATTATGATAATTTGATAATTTATATGAAAAGATACGATTATGTGAGTGGAAGCATAAATATTATGTTTAATTTTATATTTTATAATTAGAATAAAATTTATAAATTTTAATATTATAATTTACAAAAAAAAAAAAAATTTTATTTTTATGATTTAAAATTGAATCTATCGAATCAATTCGATGTTTGGTTGATTCAATCTTTTTGTATATTTGATCATTTTTATTTAATTTCTTAAAAATATTTAATTTATAA